ACCAATGACCTTAGTACTGCCAGGAGGAAGTGCTAACCATTTAGCCGCTGTGCTGCCATTTGTTTGTATTGGTGACACAAAAAAGTGGAGAAACAAAAAAGCCAAATCTGATACATTCCATGCCAAACCCCAAACATGGCCAAAATTAATGGCACCATCCATGTAATATTTGGTAGCACACCCTTTGGAAAAAGTGCCTGAAATCAAAGGCTTCCTGTAACCATCAATGAGTTTCTTCCACCTCTCTACTGGAATCTTGGATCCCTCTTCTTCCTCCAACTGCTCCAGGTCCCTCAGATTGGAAGGGTTCCTTTTCCCAACTGCTCCGGGTTCTCAGATTGGAAGGGTTCCTTTTCCCAACTGCTCCGGGTTCTCAGATTGGAAGGGTTCCTTTTCCCAACTGCTCCGGGTTCTCAGATTGGAAGGGTTCCTTTTCCCAACTGCTCTGGGTACTCAGATTGGAAGGGTTCCTTTTCCCAACTGCTCCGGGTCTCTCAGATTGGAAGGTTCCTTTTCCCAACTGCTCCGGGTACTCAGATTGGAAGGTTCCTTTCCCAACGGCTGTTCTGAGATCTCTCCACAGGAGCTCTATGGGATGGACATCTGGACTCATTACTGGCCAGTTCAGTCCTCTCCAGCGCTTTGTCTGAATCCATTTCTGGGGGCTTTTTGACATGTGCTTTGGGTCATTGTCCTGCTGGAAGACCCATGACTTCTGATGGAGACCCTTCCACCTCTCTACAGGAATTTTGGATCGCTCTTCTTCCTCCAACTGCTCCGGGTACTCAGATTGGAAGGGTTCCTTTTCCCAACTGCTCCGGGTACTCAGATTGGAAGGGTTCCTTTTCCCAACTGCTCCGGGTACTCAGATTGGAAGGTTCCTTTCCCAATGGCTGTTCTGAGATCTCTCCACAGGAGCTCTATGGGATGGACATCTGGACTCATTACTGGCCAGTTCAGTCCTCTCCAGCGCTTTGTCTGAATCCATTTCTGGGGGCTTTTTGACATGTGCTTTGGGTCATTGTCCTGCTGGAAGACCCATGACTTCTGATGGAGACCCTTCCACCTCTCTACAGGAATTTTGGATCGCTCTTCTTCCTCCAACTGCTCCGGGTACTCAGATTGGAAGGGTTCCTTTTCCCAACTGCTCCGGGTACTCAGATTGGAAGGGTTCCTTTTCCCAACTGCTCCGGGTACTCAGATTGGAAGGGTTCCTTTTGCCAACGGCTGTTCTAAGATCTCTCCACAGAAGCTCTATGGGATGAAGATCTGGACTCGTTGCCGGCCAGTTCAGTCCTCTCCAGTGCTTTGTTTGATTCGATTTCTAATCAAATTCAAATTGACCAAATTTTGAAAATTCGAATTGGCATTTATCCTATTTGAAATTCAAATTTCAGAAGTTGGTTATATTCTTCCTGTTCTATTCTATTATTTTTTTTTTTTTCTATTCTATGCTATTCTTTTCAAATTTGAATGTACTTATTACGTGTTCTTGCATGGCGACCACTTCCTGTTATCTCACATATATATTTTTATTATTATAGCCAAATTTACCACCCTAACTCCTCCCACAGTTTTTACGCTACATAAACAGTAATATACCGAAACGTGCGGATTGTTCCCGATTGGTGGGCTATTACTTTGTGGAACGTTTCGCCGAATGGTTCACGAAATATCGGCGTTTTTGTGGTGAAATTGGTCCCATAGGAATGAATGGCGGAATGTTCAAAACTAGAGTGGGAGCTGACAAAACCTTTTCACAGTTACTCCGCCCACTCCACCCAGTTACTACTCGGCCCACTCCACCCAGTTACTCCAACCACACAACAGTTACTCCGCCCACTCCAACCACACAACAGTTACTCCTCCCACTCCAGTTGTAGACTACTGGTGGAGGCAAGAACACTTCACACAATTTCCCCAGAAATTGGAGCTTTTCTAGTTTATTATATTATATTATTTATTCAGAAGGCAGTTATATTCTTTCTATTTTATTCTATTCTATTGTTTTTCTATTCTAGTCTATTCTTTCGAGTCGCATAGTGTTTGACATACAACGGGCCGAAATAAGATGTGTCACCCGCGACACCCGCATTCCTCAACAAGCGCCAATGTCGGTTTATCTTGGTTACGAATTCAACGATCTCTTTGTCACAAATACGGTATCGGCATCAGAAAGCTGTTTTATCATCACAAATAGGGAATCAAACATCACAATCCACTTCCGAAGCTCAAAGGGAAATAATCTCTTTCTGTATGAAGAGAAGTCTCTTAGCAACAAGAGCCGGTAGAAAAAAAAGATGTTTTTATTAGTGCGACGCCGTTGTCCAATCCCAAAGCTCAGAGAAATACAAAGTGTCTTACGATGTAAATACACTCCAGTCTAGAGGAAGAAGCCTTGGAAATTAAAGTAGCAAAATTTTTACCAGAATCGGGTCACTAATAAAGGAAAATTTAGGCTGGCCACACACTATACAATTTCCTGCCCAATTTCTGTTATTTACCTTCAAGTATGTAGTGCGAGGGCCACCTAATTGGATACAATGGAAAGTGTTGTTTAGGTCTGACCTCCTATTATATGGTTTTTGGTAAATCTAAAGCAATTTTCTAAAGAACTGTAATATGATATAAATCGAGCTTCACACTGTTCCCAACCACCGGACGTGTTTACGTGTGGCCAACACAGGGGCGGACTGACAACTCATGGGCCCCCGGGCAATAGGGGATCATGGGGCCCCTGTGTCCTTGCCCAAACTTAAAAAAGCCTATGAAAAAGGTACCAGGGGCATCTCATAGGGCCCCCTACTGACCCCGGGCCCTCAGGCAGTGCCCGAGTTTCCAAATGGTCAGTTCGCCCCTGGGCCAACACCATCCCAAGCTTACCACCAGGACTGTCATGTGCCAACTGTAAAGCATGGTGGTGGCACAATCATGGTTTGCGCAGCCATATCTTGGTATTCTGTAGCCCCATCATCACCTTGAAAGGTAGATTCACTGCCAGCGACTATGTATAAATTTTGGCCGACCGGCCCCCCCCCCCCCCCCCCCCCCCCCCCCCCCCCCCCCCCCCCCCCCCCCCCCCCCCCCCCATGGTGCAGACATTGTTTCCCGAAGACAGCGCCATTTCCAAGATGATAATACTCCGATTCACATAGCTGGTGTTATCAGATCGTGTTTTGAGGAGCATGCAGATGAAACCTTGCACCTTCCCTGGACACCGCAGTCCCTGGACCTCAATGTCATTGAGCCTGTATGGTCAATTTTAGAGAACAAGGTTGGGGGCTCATTTTCCGGCTCCGGCATTTCTGCGAGAACGGGAGCAATTTGTGCATAAAGAATTGTATCAGATTCCATTATTCACCATTCAAGACTTTTATTTGTCAATTCCCAGAAGAATTCAGGCCGTCTTGGATGGCGGTCCAACACCATGTTAGGTAACTATTTCCTTCTTTTACCTGCTTTTTCCACCATTTTTTTCATATATACTGTACATAACCAAAAGTACTGCAAAATGCCTCAGGTTGGCTCTGAGGAAGAAGCTGAGTCCTCGAAACGAGTCAGCCAGTTGGTCATCCAGGGTTCCATCGTTGTGGACTGGATTCCATCCTTGTGATTGAACACGTTTGATCGTTGTGATGTGCCTGTGTTTTATATGTCCATTATAAGTATGATACCTACTTTTTATTCTTTCAATAAATATTTTAAACAATAATGCACTAGGCCGGTGCGCCCTCTTCAGTGCATTCAGTGACTTTGGACTACCCCGGTCCATTGAGGGCAGCAAGAAGTGCATATTCCAGAACATTTCCATTGTCATCCTAGCTTCTGGTGAAGTCCATCCCCAGTGCAGGAGTAAAGAATTTGCTGTGCATACTCTTTTATTCACTTACATAGGTCATTCTGATTTCACATATGAGTAGCGTAACTCTTCCCCTGTACAAAAGTACTACTCAACATAGTCTCCATCACCAGAAAAGCATTTGCATCATCATTGAACCCAACTCTCCAATCCTTTCTGGATGAATTCAGGTGTGCACTGCTCTACACACTTCTTTACAGCTTCTTTCACCTCGTTTGTGTCTTCATTGTCCCCGAAGACTGTCCTTCATTGGACCAAACAATGAAAGTTGGGAGGAGCTAAATCTCGGCTGTACGGTGAATGGGGGACCAGCTGGATTTGCTGATCATGTGAGTGGTTGCCAATTATGTGTGTGGTCACTCATTGTCACGTACCTGATTGGAGACTGAAATGACGAGGTCGGCCTCACTTGTGTCACTAGCCCTGACCCCGCTGGAAGTGGAACAGAGGGTGTCTAGGGACCAGGGGGACAAGAGTGCCAGCAGATGTTGTTTGCAGCTGGAGACTTTGGAAGACGGATGAACCTCCGATTCAGGAACAGTAGTGATATGCAGAGCTGGTATGGTAGATTGCCAGGTGTGCACCAGAGGAAGGCAGGAAGCTGGGGGATGGGAGACAGAAGCAATATCATAGGAATAGCCGGGGTGATCAACGGGCGGACAGCGAGGTACCAAATCATAAGCAAGCCAAAGTCAGGAACAGAGCCGAAGTCAGGAACCAGTATCAATCAGAGTAATAAGAGTCAGGTCAGGAACAAGCCGGGTCAGCAACAAGGAAATCACACAGGAACGAGCAGGAAACAGCTGAAGACCAGTCAGCACTCAGCACAGGCAGAGGCACCTTTAAATAGTCCATCTGGCGCCAATCTTCTCCATGCGTGTGCGTGATCGTGCATTTCTGTGCACATGCGCACATCTATTCGCCAGCCATCTCACGGGAATTCCCTTACACTCATTGTCAAGGTGAATTTGGTAGATTTCAGTTTCTCGTTCAGTCTTTTGCTCCTAATTGTTTCTGTCAGGGCTCCCAGGTGTGACCAGAGGGTGTGTGACTGACGCAGGGAAACGCAGACTTCAGATATGTGATAAACAATATAATTTATTAACACTAACAATACAAACATAAACGCAGTGCAATACTAAACATAATACAGTGCAAACAAACCAACCACCCACAGATAACAGTACATACAAGCAAGCGTCGTCAGGCAGGCCGGGTCAATATCAATAGGGCAGGTAGGTACAGGGGGAGCAAGCGGAGATTGGTCGGGGTCACAGGTCAGGTTCAGCAGGTAGCTAGCAGCGTAGTACAGAGGGTCAGGCAGAGGGATGGTCAGGGTCACAAGCCAGGGATCAGAACAGGTAGCAGGCAGCGTAGTACAGAGGGTCAGGCAGAGGGATGGTCAGACAAGCCAGGGATCAGAACAGGTAGCAGAGAATCAGACAGGAACAGAGAGCAGGAACAGGATACAGGGCCCAAGAGAAACACACACCAAGGCAGAGTCTGCAAGTCTGGCCATCCCTTAAATACCCCAGCATAATCAGTTCCAGGTGTTAGCTGGCTGCAAAGTTGAGTCTCTGATTGCTGGGAGCATCCGCTGGCCAGCCCTGGTACTGCAGATCAAAAAGGCAGGTGAGTCCCACCATTGCTGGCTAGTCCATTCCTGACAGTTTCTCTAAGCATCTTTAGTGCGTGTGACGAAAATGCTGGGTGCAATAACTAAAAGCAAGTCATATACACACAATCGACAGGTAGTCACACACGGGTACTTTCAACCAGCATTTCTACCATTACATGTACTATGCATGTGAAAGACCCTCTACCAAATGAACATCTGCCCTGGCACATCGTAGCATTCACTCAGCACCAGTGGTGTATTTAGGTTTTGTGCTGCCCTAGGCAACAAAAAAATTGGTGCCCCCCGCAGAGAGAGCCTGTGTCAGGGCTCCAGGGTGTGACCAGAAGAGTGTGGACTGACACAGGGAAACGCAAGCTTCAGATATGTTATAAATAAGACAATTTATTAAAGACTAACAATACATAAATGCAGTGCAATACTAAAACATAACACAGTGCAAATGAACCAAACCAAACCACCCACAGATAACAATACATACAATGCAAGCGTCGTCAGGCAGGCCGGGTCAATAACAATCGGGCAGGTAGGTACAGGGGGTCAGGCAGAGAATGGTCGGGGTCACAAGCCAGGGATCAAAACAGGAGAAGTAGCAGAGGTCCAGATCAGGCAGGGTCGGCAACGAATCAGACAGGAACAGGAACAGGGATACAGGGCCCATAGAAAAACACACACCAAGGCACAGACTGCAGGTCTGGCCATCCCTTAAATACACCTGCATAATCAGCTTCAGGTGTTTGGCTGGCTGCAGGGTTGAGTCTCTGATTGCTGAGAGCACCCGCTGGCCAGCCCTGGTACTGCAGCCCACAAGGCAGGTGAGTCCCACCATTACTGGCAAGTCCATTCCTGACAGCCTGACATTGACCAAAAACACCCCTGCCTCCCACCCAAGACAGCTTTCCACTACCACTGCCCCCCCCCGTACACCAGCCACCATCCCCCATGGCGAGGGAGAGACACTCACCTTAATAGCTCCTGACATCCCCGGGAATGAGAGTTGGGCTGTACATACACCGTCATGAAACCTACAGCCTCTCTTGGAACCCACCAGGTCCCCATGCCACGTGTCCCTTCTTCCGTCGGGGCAGTGCTGCCCCCCACCAGAGAAATGCCACCCTAGGCAAATGCCTTGTTTGCCTTGTGGTAAATACATCCCTGCTCGGCACTCCAAGAAATAACAGAATCCAACTGCAGTGTTCTTGCACTGTCAAAACCTCCACTTTTATTATCACATGACACGCAGGAGGATATATCTTATAGTCATCACAATCTGCATAATAACACACACCAGTAATAATGTAAGCATTACAGCATGAAATAGACACATCATTGGACAGCATCACAGCATAGAATTAATACATTACCAAAGCTATGGGAAGACGGGAAGGACCAGACCCCATCGGAACCATAAAGCAAAGGAGGGTCACGGGGAAGCCATAAACGCAAACAATTGATGAGCCCATATAGCCTTGGAAAGAGTCCCAGCATCAGAGTGTCCCCTGGCAACTAGAAGGCTCCCCATGGATCCCGGATTTTAAACAATTTTCAGCTTTCCCGAAGTGGGCGGGCACCACACCCGCTATAGGAGGAGCTAGCAGAAAGGTTCCATGAGGATAATAACATAGTCACGCCCAGCCACCATATTGAGTCCACATTGTTATCTAGAAAGTCACACTTTTGCTTCAGATCAGCTTCTTATCTACCCTAAACTTAAAGATTTCTAACTTCTCAAGCAAGTATACATCTTTAACCACTTCCCGCCCGGCCCATGTATATAAACGACCAGATGGGAGCAGTGCCGGAGCAGGTATGCCATTTATAAAGGCCGCCCCCTGCTTGTGCGCGCTCCCTGGGAGCGTGCAGCACCACGATCCGGTGCCCTCTGTGTCCTCCTGACACAGTGGAACACCGATCATTGTACGGGACCTCTGTGTGAGGTCCTGATCATGTGATCACTGATTGGCCAATCAGTGATCACATGCAGAGCAGTAAGCAAGATGTCACTTCTGACATCATTGCTTACTACGTGTGAAAATCTGTGAATGATCACAGAGATCACATGGTACAGGGCCATTCACAACAGCCTCGTACCATGTGACAAGCTGTGACCAATCACAGCTCACACAGTATTTCTCAATGGCTGCAAGAATGCAGCCAGAGAGAAGGAGAAATTATTCCTCTTACAGCATTTATGGGTATAAAAGCAATCAGTGTAGAAAAAAAATCTTCATCACCCCCCACAAGTAGTACAGTGTCACCATGGTGACCCCACACTGCTAGGGTGACCGTATGTAAAAAAATAATAAAAACAAAATAAAAATGTAAAAAATAAATCGTGAAAAATTATAATTTTTTTTGGTTATGAACTAATTTGGGTTATTTTTTTTCTTTTTTGCTAAAAAGATAACTGAATAAATTTTGCCCAAGATTTTTGAAGAAAGATTATTTTATTTGCAACATTTTATAAGAAAAACACTTTTTTTTTTTTCAAAATTTTTGGACGTTTTCATTTGTATAGGAAAAAAAAAATAAAAATCCCAGCGGTGAATAAATACCATCAAAATAAAGCTCTATCTGTCTAAAAAACCATAAAAAATTCATATGGGTACAGTGTTGCATGACCGCGCAATTGTCATTTAATGTGTGATAGCGCTGAAAGCTGAAAATTGGCCTGGGGGGGGGGGGGGAAGGGGGGAAAGTGTCCGGACTGGAAGGGGGTGAAAGTGTCCGGACTGGAAGGGGGTGAAAGTGTCCGGACTGGAAGGGGGGAAAGTGTCCGGACTGGAAGGGGGGGAAAGTGTCCGGACTGGAAGGGGGGGGGGGAAAGTGTCCGGACTGGAAGGGGGTGAAAGTGTCCGGACTAGAAGGGGGGGAAAGTGTCCGGACTGGAAGGGGGGGAAAGTGTCCGGACTGGAAGGGGGGGGGGAAAGTGTCCGGACTGGAGGGGGGGAAAGTGTCCGGACTGGAAGGGGGTGAAAGTGTCCGGACTGGAAGGGGGGAAAGTGTCCGGACTGGAAGGGGGGGAAAGTGTCCAGACTGGAAGGGGGGGAAAGTGTCCGGACTGGAAGGGGGGGAAAGTGTCCGGACTGGAGGGGGGGGAAAGCGTCCGGACTGGAAGGGGGGGAAAGTGTCCGGACTGGAAGGGGGGGAAAGCGTCCGGACTGGAAGGGGGGGGGGAAAAGCGTCCGGACTGGAAGGGGGGGGGGGGGAAAGCGTCCGGACTGGAAGGGGGGGGGAGCGTCCGGAAGGAAGGGGGGGGAAGCGTCCGGACTGGAAGGGGGGGGAAGCGTCCGGACTGGAAGGGGGGGGAAAGCGTCCGGACTGGAAGGGGGGGAAAGCGTCCGGACTGGAAGGGGGGGGGGGGAAAGTGTCCGGACTGGAAGGGGGTGAAAGTGTCCGGACAGGAAGGGGGGGGGGGAAAGTGTCCGGACTGGAAGGGGGGGGAAAGCGTCCGGACTGGAAGGGGGGGGGGGAAAGTGTCCGGACAGGAAGGGGGGGGGGGGAAAGTGTCCGGACATGAAGGGTTTAAACAGGTTCTTATCTTCTAATGTGACATTACTAGATGTCATAAACATTTTTAAGCCCATGAACAAGTTCCTATGTTGCTCTCAGCAGAATATCTTGCGACTGTTCCTTTGGCTTAGAGAAATGACATCAGTCACCTCTCATGCTCCTGGCATTTGGGCAACAATGCTTTATTGTAAAAATTACCCAAGAAACAAAGGGTTCAAGGCCAACACATTTCACAGGCATTACAGTGAGAATGATTCTCTTGTCATCCCAAAAAACAGTCACCGTGACTTTCTGTGCTGATTGTTGGCTCTTGAACATCTTAGGCCTCAAGGAAGAGGTGTGATACCAAACCATGGATTGATTCTTCGTTTCCGGATCATGAAGTTACACCCATGTGTCATATGCTGTCGGCAAAAAACGTGTCTTCATTGGCATCATATGCTTCCAGCAGATCAGAGCTGGCTTCCACCCTTCTCTCCTTCAACCTGGTGTCAACTGCTAAGGTACCAACACTGCACACGCCTTTTGATACCCTCAGTCTTCCACCATCTTCTGTATGGCATTGTGACCACAGTCCAGCTGTGCAGTAAGCTCAGTCCACGCAGATCAGTTCATCCACTTGCTGATATTTTGTGCCAGTGGTGGTGTTGATGTTCTGCATGGTTTGTCTTCAGTGTTGGGTTCCCCTTCTTTATAGTTCTTCATTCATCTGTGCACCTTGTTCTTGTCAATGGTGTAATCTCTGAAAACATTCTGTAGTTCCTGTGGATATTGGACAACCTGACCCCTCCTTTGTCAAGAACTTGATGACAGCACATTGCCTCTACTTGGAATCCATTATTCTGCTGAAATGAAAAGCAGAAAAAACGTTACTCTACCAACATATGAAATTTGAATGGCCTCTGGAACTTAATAAAATAAAAAATTGGGACTACTTTTGCATTCCTTTTGGTACAGCCCTTGTACTAATATAACAACCACTCAGTGTCCTCCAGTCCCTCTGCTGGCTTCGGCTCACCCAACAAGTAAAACTCAAAACACTAACCACAACATACAAAGCCGTCCGCAACTCTACCCCAAGCTACATCACCAACCTCAAAATATCACGCGAATCATCCACTTTATTAAACTCAGGGTGTCTAGATCTCTAGATCCTTGTTACATCCTCCCATGCTCACCTCCAGGATTTCTCCAGAGCCTCTACCATCTGCTGGAACTCCCTACCCTAATCCATATGGCTATCTCCTACTCTGTCCTGCCCTCAGGTGATGCTTGAGAACTCACCTCTTTAGGGAAGCCTATCCCACCTCCATGTAACAACTGAACTTTTACTTACCCCATCAACTCTACTCTCACAATCTTGTATTAGGCTGCTTTCATACTGGTGCACCCCACCAGCGGATCCACTTGTTCAGAGAGGAATCTGTCCGCTGATCCCCGCTGATCAGGGGAATGACAGGTCCTGTCCGCTCCACTTATTAAGAGCGGACATGGACACAGCCCCGCTGTCCTCTATGGGTGGTCAGATATAAATGGACCACATGTCTGTTTATATCCTACTGTCATCCGATCCACGAGATGGATGAGGAATGAATTCCCATCCATGTGGATCCAATGGATCCCCATCCATAATTTTTTGCAGATAAGATCGGATGCAGGTGGGTGTAAACGGACACGTCCGTTAGGGTCCGCCACTCCATAGAGGGCAAAGAATGGTCTGATCAGGTCCGCCTGAAAGATAGACAGACAGGTGGATCCAATCTATATGTCACCCTTACTTGCCTCTCTCTTTACATTGTAAACTTTCACAAGAAGTGCCCTCCTAACCCTTCCAACCCTGCCATGGTTCTGCTGCTCATCGAGGTCCCAGCTCTGGTTGCCAGGAAGGGGGGGGGGGGGGCACTGTTTCACTGTTAATTGCAGAAGCTGAATGAGAGAATTGCTTTGGGGGATCTGGTCTGAGAAATTCACAGGAGAGGTGTCTTGAAGTTATTGGAAGGAGGCATCCAGTTATCCAGGGACATTAGTGAGTACAAACCAATGGGAGAGATCTAATGGCCATCTTGTGCCTTGAGTCAGTGTTACCTAAAGGAACATTGTGTTTGGTTTCCATACTCCAGATTAACCCCTCATTAGGGATGTAGCCAAGGACACCATACCACCGATGGGTCCCGAACCATTATATTAGCCCTGAATTTTACCTCCTTCAAAGACCAACAACCACCAGGCTGTCATGAGAACACCACCCACCAAACCAGAACCACAACCAAAAGACAGGGAAGGTGGGTGGGAAACTTCTTCTCCTTATGGTCCCTGACTGAACACTTACAGCACACCACTCCCCCCTCATTAACTGGAATGTAACCAAGGATACCATACAGCCGATGGGTCCCGAACAGTTCTATTAGCCCTGAATTTTACCTCCTCCAAAAACCAACAACCGCCAGGCTGCTATGACAACCACAGAACCAGAACCACAACCAAAAGACAGGGAAGGTTTGTGGGAAACTTCTTCTTCTCTTGATGGTCCTCGACTGAACACTTGCAGCACACCACTCCCCCCTCATTGACTGGAATGTACCCAAGGACACCATACCACTGATGGGTCCTGAACCATTCTATTAGCCCTTATTTTTACCTCCTCCAAAGACCAACAACCGCCAGGCAGCCATGACAACCACCAAACCAGAACCACAACCAAAAGACAGAGAACGTGGATGGGAAGCTTCTTCTGCTGATGGTCCCCGATTGACTGAACACTTGCAGCACACCACTCCTCCCTCACTAACTAGAATGTACCCAAGGACACCATACCACTGATGGGTCCCGAACCATTCTATTAGCCCTGATTTTTACCTCCTCCAAAGACCAACAACTGCCAGGCTGCCATGACAACCACCGAGCCAGAACCACAACCTAATGACAAGGAAGGGTGGTGGGAAGTTTCCTCTCCTGATAGTCCCCAACTGAACACTTGCAGCACACCACTCCTCCCTCACTAACTGGAATGTACCCAAGGACACCATACCACTGATGGGTTCTGAACCATTCTATTAGCCCTGATTTTTACCTCCTCCAAAGACCAACAACCGCCAGGCTGCCATTACAACCACCAAACCAGAACCACAACCAAAAGACAGAGAAGGCGGATGGGAAGCTTCTTCTCCTGATGCTCCCTGACTGAACACTTGCCGCACACTACTCCCCCCTCACTAACTGGAATGTACCCAAGGACACCATACCACTGATGGGTCCCGAACCATTCTATTAGCCCTGATTTTTACCTCCTCCAAAGACCAACAACTGCCAGGCTGCCATGACAACCACCGAACCAGAACCACAACCTAATGACAAGGAAGGGTGGTGGGAAGTTTCCTCTCCTGATAGTCCCCAACTGAACACTTGCAGCACACCACTCCCCCTCATTAACTGGAATGTACCCAAGGAGACCATACCACCAATGGGTCCCAAACCAATTAGCCCTGAATTTTACCTCCTTCAAAGACCAACACCTGCCAGCTAATTTTTAAGCCTTTAGCATGCTGTCCCCCCTATTCACCCTGTCACATCTGCCCTACGCTTATTTATTTATTTGCATTTGGCCTTCCTTTTACCTCCACACGTTCCATACCCTGGCTCTGTGCCATCTGCCAGCCAAGGCCTGAGGGATTGCACACCGCTGAGCGAGCTTGAATTCAAATACAATCTTTTTATAAATGGCTTGTAGTAACCTTTTTCTACACAAGCTCCAGAAATGTCTCCCTGATCCCCATAACTTTCCTGCTGTCCGGAGCCCACAGATGGACATTCGTTTTCTTTGCAGGCTTCTATTTTATTAATTAAGGTTAAACGTGATATTAGCTTTATCGCTGATAATAAGTTGTGTGATATCCATACGTCTCTCCCTCTGTCATCTGCCAGTCTGCTCGAATGCAAAGACTACTGTTAATGAACAATAAAGCCGGGGGGACTTTGATGATCCAGGGAAAGGAAAAGTTCGCTGTAGAGCTTAAAAGGCTGATTCAGAGCTTTTGACTAAATCCTTTTCGTTTTGGAAGTTGGCCAACGTCCAAAGTTGCGCGGAGATATATTACTCACCAGATGACAAGGGAAGAGGACTTTGGGGTGTTGTCTTCCATCAATGAGGAGACAGCTTATAGCGAGATAACAGCTCTATGTGGATACAATAAATTGCAATGGCCTAACTCAGCAGAAATCCTTCATTCCATTGGGGAGTGTCATTAACGCAACGTAGTAGAGTATAGTATAGCTCGTCAGGAGCATCTAAACAAGAATATACGGTGGAGGATCGCAGACTCTGGGGTGAGCCTGTATCGGGATCCTGGTCTGCAATACTAAATATATGTAGGTAGGTGTAATTCCATCCCCCGGCACAGGTAGCGCTGTTATAGCAGCCGCCATGCAGGGGAGACAGAAGACCAGAGGAACTCTTTCTCCTCTGAGGCCTCCATACACATCAGTAAGGGAGAAGCTGTTCGATTGGAAGCTGCTGTGCTTAATGACCTCTGCGGGCATCTTTAGTGTGGGCATTGCTAATAAATTGCTCTGTCTCACTGCAGTGGTTAGGTAAGACAGTGGAGGAACCACACTACTGAGCTGCCAACTAGGAGCTCCTTCTGTCTTTCGGCTGCCTTTTGAGTCCACACGGCCTTCAGC